TTTTGCAGAAAGCAACAACTGTATTTCAATGGATTACTGTAACAAATAACAAGATCAACAACATAAATTTTTTAAGATTTTTCAATTTCAGCCACTACGAAGAGTAATGACCGCTATAAATTATTATGTTCGAATTGGAGAAAATAAAAATAATTAGTAATTTGTCAATCAGATCAACGTACTGTAGTAAATTATTCAATGTAATAATAATCACAGATCTTTAACAAAATTTACTTATACAAATTTTGATATTCATTGATAATAAATACTTCGGCTCATATAAACAACTATGATATACAGTAAATAATGAAAAGAAACAAAAAATAATATTTGTCAATTTTTGAACTACTGCTAGGATTCAGTGCAGACAGTCACTTCTCCAGTGAATATTAAATATGGATCTCCATGTCGTTTTAACGATCTTGCTATTGCTCCGATGGTGCGCGGCACAATACCTTCAAACAAAACTTTCTCTTCCATAGTAATTTTGATCGGAGAGTCCATATCCACCATAGTATCGTTCAAAAGAATTGTTACGTGTTTATAATCTTTAGTCTGAATGTCGAAATTTTGACCATCACGTGTAGCAGTTACTTTGGTAAACTGACGAATTTGATTCTCTGGAAGTTCCAACCAAAAAAATCGATCATGCGTAACAGAATCTTGCCACCAGACCACGCGATCAGGTATTGGATTTCGAGTATACTGAGTCATCCAGTTTAGTGCAGCCTTTTCCTTACCATTCATATGATGTCCCATATCATCATAGATTTCTACCCAATGAATATAACCATTGGGATCTTCATTTTGGAGTTTTGCAAATTTGTCTGCCCATTCCTGCCCAGCCCTGTTTCGATTGTAACTAACATCATTTGCTCCTATATGAATTGTGAATGGGGTATTACGCAAGCCTAACGGTGACGCATCATTAGGATGTCCCGCATTCGCATTTGCAGCAGCCCACCGATCAGCTGTTCGTGGAACAAGTTTATATACGCCATCACCACCCGCCGAATACCCTGTCAAATATACCTTATTTGGATTTACACCTTCAAAAATAACCATGTTCTCAATAATTCGATCAAACATAAGATCAATTTCTGGTCGATGCCACAAGTCCCAAGTATTACCGGGAGCTCGGGGCACCAAGTAAACACCCTCCTCAATAGTGTATAGTTGTTTTTGATTCTCCCATTGTGAATCATTTATATAAGGTTCAGTGTTACCACCTCCATGAAGCGAAATAAATAAACACTTTTCACCAAATGGGTTTGAACCGAATGTTTTGAACCATATAGGCATAGAAGCATCTTGTTTTGTAATTAACAAATTTTCCTGCTTACGTTCTTTTTTAGCTATATTGACATAATTATTCCATAATGCTTTTACACAATCGTCACATTCTGATTTGGTTAAATTTATTGCCGCAATATCAGTACTTTCAAGGGAAGAATAAAAGTCACCTTCGTGTATCTGGGATAAATATTGGTGCAGAGCATTAAGCGGGGCATTTTTAGTAATCCTAGAACGTTCCAAGGTATTCATTAATATACTTAAATTATGTAGAACTATTAAAAAGTTTTGATACTAAGGCTTTCTTCCGTTAATGGTATATTTGGGACAAGAAAATATTCAAGAAAAACAATTTTTATTCTATGCATACACCTTGGCGGAAAGCTATTTATTATTATTCCGAATCTGCACATTTTAGTACGTACGTACGTACATACGTATTAGTATGTTTTCAAAAAAGGTTGTTACTTTTTAACATTATTTACATTTTAATTGTTAACCTTTTTAATTATTTATCTGTTATAGAATTAAGTATATGCAAACGCCTCAACGATAAATTTACTAGGTAACCCTATAAAAAAAAAGTCGATCCGTATTTTATATTCCGTGTTTTGTCCATAAATATTTTCATATTCACGGAATTTATAACCTTAAATCATGGAGATTATTCGGCTTGTCTTATTACAGATTCACGGAGTTTTCACAAAAAATATAGAGAAATAACGGAAATATTCGGAAAAAATTTTATACAGGGTAACAAAAATAAATTATGGATTTTGTAGTCCGGAGCGTAGCGAATGGCTATATATATTTTAGCAGCGGTGACACAAAAAGTGTCCGCCTGTCCATTTCCTCACTGATCCGGTTTTAGTCATGTGATCAATAATTTTTTATCCACAGTATTTCCTATTGATACGTATTCCTTCGTATTATGAATCCGAACTTTCGTACTATACTGTATAGTAAACAAGTGTCAAATTAATATCACATGTTTTCTTGAATCACTTCGAAAATATAGTTCAAATTTAGAACAAACAAATGTAAAAGATTAATATTATTTAAATTCATCAAGAGCATTCGATTGAATAGATACTGATATTTTTTCTTTGAAAAGGTGAGGATGAGACTTCTATTCTATTTATTCAACAACCCTAGCGTCGCCCAGAAAAAATGGTAGCCGGATTATTTTGCCGGCTTACATGTGATTTCGGATACTGATTGTCGGATAAATTATGAATTTTTTTATTCATTTAGTTATAGCGAATAAATAAATAAAATAATAATTAAAATAAGGCGATTTAAACAGTTTATCTTAATTACATAGAATCTTTACGCACTATAAAGTAGTTTACACCAATTACAAGTTAAATTAACATAGATAACAAATCCATGAATTCACGAATTTTAATACATTGGTTAAAAGATCTTTATACATAATTAAGTTAATGCGAATTAAAAAATATGAGTAGCATTATGTAACTATAATTTATTTTAAATACTAAAGTTTGTATTTACTCGCTAAATTAGCAAGAATAAATAAGAAGCAGAATCGCGAACTTAAAGAGCTTATTTAAGCGATCGACCAAGATCTTTATACTCAACCGAATTAACGCTAATAAAACAAAATCATATACGTATATTCTCCAGAATCAATTTTGAGAACTGACTAGCAGTTTCCTTAAAACAATATTTAGCTTAAATATATTATCCAATTCTGAATTTCTGAATTTTTATTTCACTAATTCCCGGCCAAAATGCTCGTGTTTTAAGTTCGTTAATAATAATTTTTCGACATTGTACAAACGCCTTAGTCTTAATCTTTCTATTTAACAACAGGAACTAAACTATGTAATTATAGTTATTTATAAAGAACTTCATACTCACAATAAATTAATGCGAACAAGTATATGCTCACTCAATTAGCTAGATTAATGCAAATCAAATAAGTGAATGCTCACAAACTTGAATCACTTATTTTAATTAATTCAAAAGTCTTTTACACTCACCATCCAAATTAGGCACTGAATAACTATATACAATTTTAGCGATGTAACTAATTTTCGAGTTATTATATTTTATTGTTTAAACGAGTTGTTTTGCTTGTAAAAATATGACGCACTTTATTTTGTGAATTCAATACAGTAA